GTTTCTGGCCGATTTACAAACGATTTCATTTGTTAAATATATTACGTGGAATATATATATATATACTTTTTTCAGCGATTGAATTGTTTCTGTTTTATGTATGGTGGATTTTCACTGTTCTCTGCCCACTTCACTGCACTGTACTGATCTACCGTAACATTTAACTCAACTGCCGCTAAGCCGTTTTGGTTGTTTACTGTGTTCGCCTCATTCTCATGTCTGTATGTATGTGCGTATAATTTTATATGCATATGTATGTATTGATGTCTATATGTATGCCTGTAGACAAGTATGTGCGCTGCAAATGAAGTAGACTTTTGAATCTCGCTCAAATATTTAATTTTATATTCCTTCTCTACCTTATTTGGCAGCTCTGTTAAGTGCCTGTTAACACTACTTGCTGCTGTTGTTGTTGTCGTTGCTGTTATTGTTGCCGCTGTTCGTATTATGCTAAAATGCCAGGCAAACCAATTATATTTCTGTTTGTTTAGCGTGGGCACAGCCACAACAACGGTACCTGGCAGCAGCATGGTAAATGTTTGTTGCAAAGGTGACAAACCGTCTTATAATAAACATGCAGCAGCTAACATTTTTATTGAAAGCAATTTACTTGAGAAGCTCGTGTTAAAAAAAAGCAAGCAGAGCATACTTACGAGCAAAGGGAATTAAAGCTAAATAAAAGCAAATGTTATGACTTTTAAAAAATATACCTCGAGCCAACTAGCTGTAGCTCAAGCTCAATATATGTATGTATGTATGTATGTATATCTGCTGCTCCATTATAGTATATATGTATGTATATCTATGTATTCGTATTGCTTATCTGACCGCAGCAAGCGTCGCTGTTGCTTTGGCTGTTAAGTTGTTTGGTTTTTGCTTTAGTTTACTTTCGAGCCTGCCAAAATGGAAGCAGCGGCAAAAACTGACAGAGTGGCAAAAAAGGCAGCAACAACAAAGTTTTAGCTGAAAACCAAACAAAAAGTAAACAATGCAAAGTTGCAAAAGCAGCGGCGGCGACACCGCAATGCAAATATGCCAACAACAGCAACAACTACAACGACGACAGCAACAACAACAACAACAACAACAAGCAGAAGAACAACAATAACAGTACGAGGAGCGCTGAAACAAAACGTGGATAACGCAAAGTGACAAGCCGCATACAGCGCCAACGCTTGAGGCACTTCCTACAAAGATGGGACGTTGCGAACGGAGGCTGGACTTTCATCCAGGACAACACACACACACACACACACACACACACACACACAGAGGGAACAACAGGACGGCAGGACAACGGGCCCGTGTTGCCAGAGGTTGCTGCCGGGGCATGCCCGGCCAGTGGCAGGCACCGCAGCCAGGCCACTGAGCCGCGCCCATTTACGTGTGACCCAAAAATGGCAGCCATAACAAATTAAGAAGGTTACCTTTATAGACATGGACAGCCACCCCACACCCCCCCCTCCTCCCCACTAAGCCCCTTGACCACCATCAGTGTGGCAACTGCAACAAATACAAATGCGTTATAAGAGTGCACACACATATTTTAATGAAGCATTTTATGCAACGACACAGCCCCTTTTCTATAGTTAATTAAATCCAATAAGCCTAAAATAAGTGTATAAATACTTATTAGAAATATTCATGCTAGCACGATCCCAACGCCAATTCTACATGCAGAAGCGTGGGACAACTATCTATAAAAGGTTTTATCGAATCATAAAAACAAAATGGTTCAAGGATCAATATATGAATCCTCTGTTAATAGAGTTTATCGCTATCGCTATAAGCCCAAGAAACGGCTTACGGTTCGAACCCATGCCTAGTCTTAAAGTTCGGTTCGAAAGCCCCCTGCAAAACTTGTTAACTCAAATTTCTTAGAATTTTCAATCGAACTCTTTAATTTATTATAAATATAATAAGCCATATTAACATATTATGTTGCGGAACTACATAACATATTTGAAATATAGTTATATCGTGCTTGTTCAGTTCTTCACGATATACAGAATTTATTCATCTATCAGTGCCTAACCAAACTTAACCTTTGAGCGCTTGATTTATATTATTGAAATATTATGATACAATACATACATATAAAGATTAGAATCCATTATAGGCTTTAGTAAATTAAATTTGAAGAACTTGAAAATCAGCCAAACTAAATTCAGGCAATTCAAGCACGTGCTTTTGTATACATACGCTATGCTTAACAGCTTTTATCTTAACAGGTTTCAATCATGTTAACAATTCTGGTAATTCACATGGCAGTTGGTTGTGTTTCTTATGCACGCTTTTTATCTTAAGCACTTTTTTTAAAAATGGCCTATTGCCAGATAAACCGTTAAAATTCTCCATAGTGCTATGGCTTAAATTTTGGCCGAGTTGCGCCCACTCCACGTTTAATTTGTAGCTGCGCAACGAGAACATCGTCTGGCAACGCCCACAGCATGCCAGACATATATTGAATTTTTGACTTGAAGCATTTAACATTTTAAACGTAAAAGTGTCGCACGCACCCGTAATAATACCCGGATAGCTGGGATAGGGATATCGTCGTCTCCTAGTTGCAGGCTTGTATCCTCCCCGCCCCCCGCCCTTCCAGCGTATCCACTGGATCACCCGTTCGATATTTTTGGCACATAAATTGCCGGTCTGCCCTGGGCCGCCTGTTTGTTGTTGTAGTTGTGGTTGTTATTCCTGTTATTGTTGCTGTTGTTGTTGTTGTTGTTGTTACTGGTGTTGCTACCGCTGTTGTCTTCCATTTAGGCGCAGCTTGTTTTTTTTTTTTTATGTGTATGCACGCATACATGCATATGTATATATTGACATATAGTATGCATGCGTACGTGTGCGTGTGTGGGGGCGTGTGTGGGGGCGTGTGCGTATGCACAACGGAAATGAATTGAAATTTTAAAACCCACAGCTGCGACCGCTTCCTGCGGCAAAAGTAGCAGCCCACACTTCAATAAGAATGCGAATACACACACACGCATACGTATGAGTAAGTGAATATCCATGCGTATACGCATGTGTGTGTGAGTGTGTCCCTTTCTGATTGCCAGCTGCATGTTCCAAAGGAAACAAACAAAATGTAATTCGACAGATTGCAAGGTGGAAATGTGTAAAATTCAAGCGAAACCATTTTCTTTTCTTGGAGCTAAGCTTTAAACAGAACCTGACTGGTTTACAGCCGTTTATAAAATAACATTAATGAAAAGATATTTTTGAATAGAGAACATCCAAAAATGTCAGTCGAAATTTTTTAAATTCAGCAGAGTAGAAAACTAATTTGACTATAAAAAATTGAACTCTTTGTGCATTATTTATATGTTTATGTCAATCAGATGAAATACATCATTTGTAAATATAAATGAATAATAGTAACATTCTGTCACTGACATGCTCTCAATGTAATATTGTTTATGTCATCCTGTTAAGGATTCGTAGTGTCATTCTGTTAATAATATACTTTCAAAGATGTTAATGTCGCACTGTTAGTGTCACACTGTTAATCATATGCTTTCATAGTGGTACTGTTAGTGTCACACTGCTAATAACATGATTTCAAAGTCGCACAGTTAATAGCGTACTGTTAGTGTCGCACTGTTAGTATGCTACAGTTAAGTTTTAAAGTCCTATTAACAGTCGCTTCTACCCGTACGAAAGTTATTGAAGTTAACATTAACATAATTGTTAGCTTGTTAAGTTTAGGTTAATAAAACTGAGTATATTGTTAAAAAAAAATATGAATGACCCACAAAATTTTAACGATATTGAAGAGAAAACGATTCTGGGAACCAAATGTTTGATACAGAGTAAGAATTTCGAGCGTATTTATTTATGTGTTTTTACATCTACATACAAAAAGAGAGTTAATATCATCTATACACTTGGGCGCATTCTTGTGTCACCTGTGTATTTGTGTGCCTGTCTATGTGTGTGTGTGTGTGTGTGTGTGTGTGTGTGTGTGTGTGTAAGCACAAGCTTAACTTTAATTAAGATGAGCTTGTATACATATGTATGCACATATTTGTATATATTCTTCAAACTGTAAGCACTTTTGAAGCAACTTTTTGTGCGCCAATCAAATTAAATTTGAATCGAAGAGGTAACATTTTTCAATTGTTTTAATGCTGTTTTAATTAAAGCAAAAAGTTAAATAAGTGACAAACTTATTGAGCATAGCAAAATGTTTAAATATTTTTGACATTACAATTATTTTCCACTGACTGAACAATTTGCGAATTTTGTTTTTCATTTATTCAAATTTGCAGCTGCAACAGCCAATTAACGCAAATGCAGGTGAGGCACAGAGAAATAACAAAAAAAAAAAAAAACCATGTCATTAAATAGAACATTGAGCTTAAAATTGGGTTGAAAGGGTTTAATTGTTGTGTGCATGTGTTTGCAACAGGCAGAAGGAAGCAGCTAAAGCATTTGTTTTCAGGATCAGGACGAGTCGATCCAGTCCGTTTAAATGCATCCATTTGAAATATTTCTCATATTGGATATAAATACGTTTATATGCCAAAATTAAGCTCTATAAATTCCATAAACACGAAGTTAATCAAGATTGCAGTCGACAGACCTTATGTGGGGTAGCTTAAAGCTGCATTTAGAGTATCTCGTAGTCGGCTTTGAATTTGCACACAGTTTGATTAACTGGACACTCTTGGCACATTTAAGACTACTTAATTATTTGAAGATATATATAGGCAACAATAATAAATGACATATTTTAGAACAAAAAATCTATTACAATACTAAAGCCAAGCGTAGATAATGATATTGATAGTGATAATGATAATGATAACACGCGACACGCGGGCTGCATAAATCTTGCAGAGTTATGTCCAAAGATATGTGTTATCGTTAGTGCTAAAAGAAAAAAAAAAACAAAAATTTGATAAACTGTTGGCTTATAAATAACCAAGGCTTAAAGAATAAGGCGCTGTCTATAAAAGCGTCTCGATGGCCACTGCTGTGAATCAGTCAAGATGACTACCAATTTGTTGCCAGTTATTGGGTTAGTTGTGCTATTGACTGCCGCCTGTCAGCCAGCCGCTGTTCCAGCAGCTATTTCAGTAGCTGTCACCAGCAGCAGCAGCAGCAGCAGCAGCAGCAGCATCAGCGGTCGTGTCGTGGGCGGCGAGGATGCGGCCAGGGCGCAGTTTCCGCATCAGATTTCATTGCGCAACCTTGGCTCCCATAGCTGCGGCGGCTCAATTATATCACGCAACTATGTGTTAACGGCAGCGCATTGTGTGGTCTATGAGGATGCCAGTGGAACGAACCAGGTCTACCCAGCCAGCCAGATAACGGTGCGCGCCGGCAGCAATGATCGGCTAAGCGGCGGTGAGTTGCGCAACATTGTGGAGATTGTGGCACATGAGAACTATGGCAACTTCTTGAACGATGTGGCCGTGATGCGTGTCGAGAAGCCGTTCATCTACTCGGAAAACATACAGCCAATAGCACTGCCCACCAAGAATACGCCAGGCGGTGTCGATGTCATCATCTCTGGCTGGGGTCGCATCAAGCATGGCGGCGATCTGCCACGATATTTGCAATGGAATACGCTCAAATCGCTTACGCTGGACGAGTGCGAGAGCTCCATTGGCTGGGGCGAGGAAGCTGGCCTGTGTTTGATCCATGAGGTGGACAATGGTGCCTGCAATGGCGACTCCGGCGGCCCGGCCCACTATGATAATGAGCTGGTGGGCGTGGCCGGTTTCGTTGTGGGCGGTTGCGGTAACATCTATCCAGATGGCTATGCACGTGTCTATTACCACGTAGACTGGATCAAAGCGCACACAGACTTAGTATGAGACCGAAATAATTATGAAATAGTACGAATTTTTTTTATTGTATAAGGAAAACATAAAAGTTGGTTTTGATTTCAGTGGAAAATAAAATGTATATTGATAATTGTAAGCCACATTGATGCGGCAATCTTTGCTGGTTACTGAAGGGGCAGGCTGAAGGGGTGGTGGTGCTGGGCATCGTTGGCCGCCTCGTATTTTGCATATTTATCAGGCAATTTTACTCTAAATTTGCCAATTATGCGCATTTTTTACCAGCATGACCCGAATTGACACCAATACACACACACACACACACACACAAACCTACATATGCGTGTGTATATATATATGCAGCATTTGCCTTTTATGGATTCGCTACATTGTCTCATAGCCATTATTGTTGTATTTATGTTTGTAAATTGGCGAGAGCCAATCAATAGGAAGCCAATAGATCACGTTTGTAAATATTATTCTAGTATAAATATAATTTGTTTTGTAATTAATGCAGAATGCAGTTAAGCGTAAATGTCATACTAATTATATAGTAATATAATATAATAATATAACATTATATAATGTATAATTAAAAATAATTAATTTTAAGAAATGATATAGTCAAACATTATTTAATTATTAACACATACAGCAGACCTTCTAATCAAATTAAGTTCATAAAGTATTATTTATAAATATATTCTTTCTTCTGAAATCAACGATTAATCAACTTTTAAGAGTAAACTGCATATTATCAATATTCAAATATACTTATTAAAAAATTAATAAAAAATATTTGTATATAATATTATATTATTTATATATTATAAACATAAGCAGTAAGTACCTCAAGATTATTATATTAAATATTTTTCATATATTTCTTTATTTAAGAAATCTTTTACGAATCTCAATTTAATACAATACATACAATTAAATAAAATATTATTTATATATTTTTATATTTATGTTAGCTTCCGAACACATAAATTTAATTTAAAAAAATGTCATAATAAGCCCTGTAATAAAACCTATATTATGATATTTTCTTCATATAGTCCTTCCTTCTTCCTGCCAACCTTCTTCCTTGCTATTGTCTTAAAAAGTATTATAATTTTTTAGTATTATAAGTAGCCTTAGTTTATGCATTTAAATGGTTCATAGTATCTTCAGAGGCAGCCCTCTCTGGTTCAGTTATTTTTATTTTGTTTTATGTATTTTTTTCCTTTAGGCTTTTCATATTGGCATAATTTATACTTTAGCAGCATTTTTATCGCTGCGCTCGGCACGAAATACAAAATACAAAAAAACAATGTGCGCTGAACAACAATCGAGCGAGCGCAGAGCAGTTGAGTTCAATGTTAGTCAACGCCATGCCACGCCCCCCGTTCAACAGAGCTACCCCTAACGCCACGCTTGCCACACAGAGCTCCGGCTGCGCTGCATTTCTGTGTCGCACTTTGTGTCACTTTTCGGCTCTGCATTATTTTTTATATACATATATTTATATGTATTTTTTATTTTTATTTTTTGAGTGCGCAACGTATTTTTTATTTTAGGTTTTTTATTTTCCATTTGATTTATTTTTTATTTATACATATAATAATGCAAAGAGGCACCAAACGAGGCAAACGCGGCGTATACATAATGCCAATTGCATGAACAGCACTGCGCGTGATCTTTGCCTGCCACATGAAGGCCGAGCTTGGGATAAGCCGCAACGCCCCTCCAGCCCCAACGGACCCACCCCGCCATGGCCCCACCTCGTCGCTGTAGCACCCAATGTCATCATTCATTTTCAGTAGCACTTTCATTGTTTGTGTGTAATTAAAATGGAAAATAATCATCAGCAATGATTTTATCAACTTTTCAGTTTCTAGTTTTAGCACTGGCTTCAGTTTCTAATGGCAAAAATAAAAAAAAAAATAACAGGCAGCTGTGCTTTTATATTGATTGAAATTAAAGTTGTGTGTTTAAGTTGGGAAGAGATTTCGTACTTTCTGTATGTACGCTAAGTTTCCAATTGAATTTAAATCTAGCTACTTATATATAAACAACTGTTTGCACTAATTGATTAATTTCAAAATACCAAATGTTGCCCCTCTCCGTGATTCTCATGAAATAAAGGCAAGTGTGAAATTGACAAGTGGGGTTTATCATAATCTTATTCCCCCAATCCTAACCTCGTACTCTCTCTCTCTCTCTCTCTCTCTCTCTCTCTCTCTCTCTCTCTCTCTCTCTCTCTCTCTCTCCTCTCTCTCTCTCTCTCTCTCCTCTCTCTCTCTCTCTCTCTCTCTCTCTCTCTCTCTCTCTCTCTCTCTCTCTCTCTCTCTCTCTCTCTCTCTCTCTCTCTCTCTCTCTTTCTCTCTCTCTCTCTCTTTGAGATGATGAGAGATAAATGTAAATATATTTATAAGAATCTTTCTCCCTCATGTCAACAAAATAATCGTGCGAATCTATGTGGATACATATACATATATAAATTCATATTGATAAGAATACATATTAAATTATTTGAGCAGTTTTAGGTGATTTATTTAAAATTAGTTTAAGAAGAATTTTTTCATTGTCGATTTGTATAAAGATTTAATTACCCACATCAAGAAATATCCACGATTGTTTCATAGCTTTGCCTACTCACACTAGATTTTATAGATTTGCTCTCTTTAATTATTGTGCAGCAAAATTAAAATTTTATTGCTGATATAAGTTTATTTCGAATCACTTAAAGCCAGACAGAGAGAGATGCGCATTAAGTGCACGAATCTCTGGTGCACATAAAAGGGTAAAAATATTTGCGGAACTTCAATTGCGTCTCGGCCAACAGGAAGATTTCGCAGGCAACGCTTCGGGTTAAGCGCTTAAAATTTCGTTAGATTTAAAGTTTTTATGAGTCTGTGTGCGTGTGTGTGTGAGTGTGCTATGAATTTATATATGTATGTATATATGTACATGCAAAAATGGCGCCTGACGTGGACGTCTCCTTTGCTGGCGTTGCCTGTGTGGTTTATCTTTCATCTTTGGCAAAGTGTTTCACAACTATTTCACTGCACTTGACTGCGGTGTGTGTGGGTAAATCGCGGGGAATGGCTGCGAGAGGGGATTCGGGTTGTCGATAGTGTTTAAGGAAGCGGGACGTGGCTGCGACTCAGTCGCGCAGCAAAAATCTTCGGAAGGCTACACTCGCCCGCTTGCCCCCGTATCGAATTAAATACAAATAGGATGTAATGTAGAAGCGTATACCGATGCCGATGCCGATGCCGATCCCGATGTCGACACTATCCCGTTCCTTGCTCCCGGTTCGCTGTTCCCTGTTCGCTCCCAACCAGCACCATCCCCGCCCACAATGCCACCACAGAGGGCGACTCAATGTGCAAATTTATGAAGCGGACGACGACCGGCCGAGCCGACTGGAGGCTGCCAACAATTTTGGCAGCCAAGCACGTGAATTGAGTCCAAAATTTTGCGCACTTGTGCAATGATAGCGGCACAGAGCTCCAGCTCGAAATCAGCCCAGCCAGGTATCTATGTATAAACACGCACACACTCGCACACTCACACACACACACATGTGCCAGCACATGTACATGAATATATGTCGTACTATATGCATTGGGATTACACATAAATATGTGCTCATATATGTGTGTGCATAAAGTGGCAAAAGAGAAGGAGGCCAACGGATGCTGCCGTAGCGAGGGGGTGCGGGGCGTTGGCCATTTGGCACCGGTGATAGCCAAAAATATTAGTCATTGCCTTTAAATTTGGCTTTTGATGCATGCGCCGAGGATTTACTCTCGGCTTGTAACAGCCAGCTGAAGTCTATTGAACTCTTTAAAGTCGAGACACAAATTAAAAGATCTGCCCTAGCAGGTCAAGAGGAACTTTGTGTATTTAAATATTTATCCATGTCTTTGGGGAAACCATAAGACTGGAGCTCTGCTTGAACTGTATGAAAAGTTGTTCGTTTAGCGAAGGCCTCATTCTTACAGCTCGACCTCATCAAATAACTTGAATCTTCTCTCATGCATCTGGATCTGTCATTATACATTATACACGCACAGCTCGAAGGTAAGATTTAGCAGATATTGACATTCAAATCTTTCAGCTCGGTTTTATTGCTTGCATTAAAACCTCAAGAACGTAAGGTGTCTGTGTCTGGACGTAGCTCACACATCAAAGCTAGACTCCCTGTTGTTTACAAATATTCCAGATTCCCTCTCTACACACACACACACACACACAAAAGCACACATACATATACACACGCACGCTGCGCACTTTATGCTGTGCTTCTTCTATGCTTGGCCCCAGACTCTATATGAGAAATGCCTGCTTGATTAACTTCGGTGCTTATGGTCCGATCTTTATGAAATTTCGTTAGCTAAAATATGGCATACATGGCAAAGGGCAAGGCGCAAGCTTTTTCAATATTGGAGTGAATGTGGGAGGTGTGCGAAAATTGAAATACTCGTAATCCACACGCAATTTGGTGCATCTTTGAGTATGTAGCTGTTACAAAATGTAACTAAATGTTATAGTTTCGAATGACATCAAAGAACAACTCAATTTCTACTTAAATGAGCGAATGAATCAATTTGTGTGTGTGTGTGTGTGTGTGCTTGGATGGCTCTAATAATTATATTTTGATCTCACATAGATATGTTAGAGGCATCAAAAATTGCCTGAAAGGCAATGCCAAAAAGTTATTGAACTGTTGCCCATTACGCTTCAATTCGCCAAAGTTGGTTGACTCTGCCAGGCCAATTACGGCACAGAGAGCGGGAGAGAGAGATGGAGAGAGAGCAAAGGAAATCGGAGAGTAGACAACGTGGAACATTGCGCCACTCCTTATCGCCATTGCACATTGCTCATGTCCATGTCATGCCGAAAGTGCGATAGCAGAGGAAGGAGCCAACCGCCAGACTGGCCCGAGACTGAGCGCATCTGCCACGTGCAGGTCTTGATTTAGTTGCGGGTAGGAGGAGTCAACGACGAGAGCGGTCCAACAGCCATCACCAGGCCACGGAGAATTGAAATTAACGTCGACTCGTTGGGGGAGCGGCCCAACAGGCGACAGGCAGGCCCAA